AAAAGAGTCTGAAGTCATACTTCATCTTTAGTTTACTATGCATACCGCTTAAAATACTGGGTGTAAATGGTTGCAGTTTGAAGGCTGGTTGGTGGCTTTTGTGTATGTGAAATAGATGATTTAAGAAGAATTCCCAGTGTACATGGCAGAATGGCCACAAATGCCAGTATTATATAAAAAAACAATAGGTGATGGAGGGAGGAGACTATGTCAGTATGGGATTTGGGGGGCAGGGGTTGGTATAAAATCTAGTATATAGGGAGGAGGCGAATGGGTTTAGTATGACATTCAGTATTTTGGGGAAGAGGACGACTGGGTTGGTTTAGGATCCAGTAGGTAGGACTGGGAGAGAACTGGGTTGATAGGGGTTTAGTAGGTAGGTGAAGGAGGAGATTGGATTGGTATTGGATCTGGGTGGTAGCAGAGGGAATGGACTAGGCCAGTAGGGGATCTGGCAGATGGAAGAGGATGGTATGTGGTCAGCATGGGACATGGACAGTAGGGAAGGAAGATCTGGGGTGAGGGAGTGATATACCCTGTTGCAAGTTTGTGCTCTTTGGGTATGTTCTTTGCTTCTGTCTCCATCCGGACTCTGTGGCCATCCTGCCATGTACACTCAGCTCTTCCCTGCAGCAGTTCATTGGCACTTGGCTCCTCTCTCCATTAGGTGGTCCAGCAGAGAAGGCTGGTCTGCAGCAGCTGGACACGGTGCTGCAGCTGAATGAGCAGCCTGTCGAGCACTGGAAATGTGTGGATCTCGCTCATGAAATCCGGTGACTATTCATCCAAACCAGGTTTTGGGCTGGCCTCAGGCGGGTTCCCTGTTGGAGCAACAGGTGGAGGGCAGGGCCCAGCAGAGCGATGCCTTAGTCACTTACTGAGTTAGGCAGCCTTACCTGGGCAGAGGCAGAAGGACACACATTCATCTGTGCAAAGGAGAGGAGGGTTGGAAGGGAGGGGCCTGGAGGGAACAGGAATGGCAGGGGGGCAAAGGCTTTGGAAGGGAGTTGGCTGGGGAGTCTCTGAGGAGCTGTGGGGAGGAGGAGTCTGAGCAAGCTTAAGGGGAGGCAGGAAGCTGAGGGAGGTCTCTGAGGGACTTGGGGGAGGATGACTGAGTGAGAACAGGGGAGGGGATGAGGAATCTCTGAGCAGATGCAGTGGGCTGCGAGAGAAGGTCTTTGAGGGGGAGCAGGGAGGTGTCTGGTAGGTGTTGGACATAGGAGGGGGAGTCTCTCAGGGGATGTGGAGAGCCTGGAGGGAGAGAGCCTGGGGTTCTGAAGGGACGAAGGGGCAGTATGAGATAGGGCAATGGGAACAGGAAATCTGTTAGGCCCCTGAACTCATCAGGGCTGTAGAGATGCTTGTCATCTCTTGGCACTGAACCTCTTCTTTGATGCTGAGTCTGAGTTCACTCCTTGGCCTCCTTGCTTCCCCCCTGACTGCATTTGTCTGAATCTGTCTTGTTGCTTCTCTTTCAGGAACTGTCCCAATGAAATCATCCTGCTGGTTTGGAGGATTGTCCCTCAAATCAAGCCCGGCTACGAAGGCATGATCCGGAGGTCTTCTTGCAAGTCCACCTATGACCTCCAGTCACCACCCAACAAGCGAGAGAAGAACAGCACCATGCCGTCTCGCCCCGAGCAGCGCCAGAGCTGCCACATACTGTATGATGGCAGTGACGGGCTTGTGCTGAACAACTGGGAGAGATACACTGAGATTGGGAAGCGGAGCCAGCACACCATGCCACCCCTGTCACGAGCATCCTCTACTGGGGACAAGAACTACATCATTTTAGCACCTCTCAATCCAGGGAGTCAGGTACTATTGCCCTTCAGCACTATGAAAACTTATTCCTGGGCTCTGCATGCAGTCCTCTTCCCAGGCCAGTGCTATGTATCTGTGGCATAAGTTGGGACAGTCTCTCCAGACACAAATTAGGCTTCTCCACTAGAGATGCATGCCAGAGGAATCTCTTACCTTCTTACCAGGGGCTGTCACTTCTGTACCTCTGTAGGTTGATGCTGTTGGGTGTAAGTGGATTACTGTTGTCTGTCCGCAATGTGCTTCTCATCAGGGCTCTGGTAAGGGCTAGGGAAACAGGAAGGACTTTCAATAGATAGGCTATGAGTTGAGGTTCTTCTACCTGAGGCAAGTCACTGCCTTTGGTTTCCTCCTCTGTAGTGTGTATAGGGATGATGATATTGCTCTTTTTCATGAATCCCTTTGGGGGTTCTGGAGGTAGGGAGCTGAATATTACTGTTTTATATCCTGAAGCATCCTGGGCTACTGGTAGCCTGCGTGAAGTAACCATGTCTTTTCTTGTTTGTGTCTTACAGCTGCTGAGACCTGTTTATCAGGAGAACAATGCTTCTGTGGGTAAGTCTCCTTTGCTGATGCTCTGAAATGGCACAAAGCTGGTCAGGATTTAACCACAGGAGTTGGGAGCTTTGCTTTCTAGGAAGTCTCTGTGTTCAATTCCCCAGTGGCTTTGGGGTGACAATGAAAAGATCTCGATTCTCTTCCAATCTCTGCTGTGATCAGAGTGTGACCTTGGGCAGTCATGTCTCCATGGTTGTTCCAGGGCTAGAACAAGGCCCTGGATAACATCTGGTCTTAAGGTCCCATGAGGAAGAGCCTTGATTTTCATTAAACCTAAGGAATTCTGGCTCTGAACTCTGCCAAGATCAAAGCCTTGATATGCGGCTGATGCAGCTTGCAAGTACTGAGGGAACAAACAGGAAGGCTTTACCCCTCCAGCCTGAGGTTGAGGGAAATCCCATGTCTCAGGCTTTCCTCTAAGTTATGTTGACTCATTTGCTCATTATATATAGTGAATCTGTTGGGTCCGTTCTCAGAGTTGCTCTCTCTGCTGTTGGGTGAGGACCTAGAACAATAAACCATTAAGAGCTCAACCTTCCCTTCCGAGCTGTGGGAGCTGATGCCAATCTGGGTTCAGAGAAATGCAGTACCTTTGATATCTTCCCTCTTCCCCCTCCTGACTGAGTGACTTCCATGCATCCTGGTGGTGACATAGTCCTGTGATTCATCATATTTTCTTGGGAAAGAACTTGCTGATCCTGCTCACAGACTGCTCAAAAACCATGTGAACTATAGATTGTTCGGCTGTGGGAAACCCTCTGGCTTGGCGCTCCCTTCTGCTTTCTCTATGTGGTTCAGAAAACAAGAGTGAGCTGCAGAGGTGTGTCTAATTTGATGGAAGGTGATACATTGGCTTTCAGAGCCTGGTGAGGTAGGTCAAGGGCAGCTGAATGGCAATATTCTCTGTGACAATAGGTCTCTGTTTTTTGGTGGCTTGATGGAGAGGATGAAGCTGAGCACTGCTCTCCAGTCCTTTCACCCTGTGAATGCTGTCTCTCAATCAGGGCCTGTTGTGTACAGTTCTAGGCACAGAAAACTCTCTTAGGTCCCATGCAATCCAGCTTCTTTGTGCAGGGCAGTAGTGCTTCCTATAGGTCTGTGTTCATGCCTAGGTTTAAATTCCTGCCCACTGATAGACCAAATTTAGTATAAGAGACAGGGACGGGGCTGCAACTCCAAGTACTTACCTTCCTTAATAAGTTCTACTATACATATGGTTAGCCAGCTTTTGTGGGAAGTAGACCAATACTTGCTATCCAGATTGCAATAAGATCTGAAGTCTTTGTGTGTTTCTTGGGGTGTAGCATTTTCTTCAGCCTAGATATTGCCTGAGAAGATCTAGGTTCCCCTTTTTACAGTTTTCTGTAACAGTGGTGACCAGGAGACCTCACATACTGATGGATCATTGAGAAGCCTAAGAATTCTCCCTTCTCTGGCTTAGGGTTTCTGTTTCATGAAAACAAAACCCAAATCCATGTTTGCTTTGATATAAATGTAAAATATTATAGATTTTGCAGGGGAAGCCTGGCTTGGAGGAATTGGGCTGAGAAATGATCTCTCTGACTGTCATTTGTGCACCAAGGAGACTTCTATTTGTTTGGCTTATTTAATACACCAGGAAACCAACATACTATGTGAACTGTTCTACTTGGCCTTGCAGGCCCTGGCTGTTGGAAACACTGTATAGTGAACAGAGCACACATTATTTCAGCTCAGTGAATTGCTCTCTGAGGTGTTGAAAAACCCAACAAATACCAAGAGCTGTGAAGTTTATTCAGCTTCCTATAAAACCCAACTGTACAGTCCTAGACCTTGAGATGCTGTTAGTATTGGGCTGAGTATGTGAGAGAAGGAGCATGGATGAACAGTGGGTTGCAATAAGAAGGTACGTGTCTCAGTAATGGAGTTCAGGTAGGGGGACTCCAACTTCTGGACCCAATTTCTCCTCCTCTCACAGGAGTTTGGTGAGTATTGCCAGATTATCAGTTATAAATCAAAACTTTCTTGGCATAGTACCCAAGCTTGAATCCTTCTTTAGACCTAGAGTTCAGTACTTGCTATATTTTCTTCCTACCCGCCTAACCTACCAACGTGGCTTAATTTCAGCTACTCATGTATGCAGCCACCACTCCCTGAAGCTAGCATCTGTAGCTGTTAATGCCGTGTAATGCTGTGTACTCCCTGCTGGGCTTCTGATACAGGCATAAAGCAGACCGTGTGTAGTCAGGAGTCTTCTGGGAGTGTAGTCAGGAATGAAGCCTCCCTAGCTGGGTTTGGGTTAGCTGTGAATAAGAAGGTTATACAGTGTTTCTGAGCTAAGCTGGTTCTCTTGTGAACTTAATGAGATGAAATCATTGAAAGTGGGAACTCAGGTTTGAGAGGGATCTGGGACACAATGAGATCCTGAAGGTGATAGAATGGGAGGTGAGAGAATGGGAGGCACTCACCAGGGCATAAATTGGATGTTGGTAACCCATTTAAAAAATCACCATCATAAGGCAACAGTTTCACTCAGAGACTCTTGAAAGCCTTCTCTGACTCAGAATCACTGACAGGGAGCAGCAGCCCTCATGCTGAAAAAAGATGCAGGTGAGAAGGCAATCTCAGCTGGTGTAGTTAGGATCCTTGTGGAGAGCTCAGTGGCAGAAAGCTGTGCTGTGCATTTGGAGAGGAGCTTGGCTTCCAGGTGTAGTTGTGGAAGAGATTTTTTTTAGCTTCTTTGGACTGCATAGTCTCTTCCTGACATGGTTGCACTGTTGGTGCAAGTTTTCCAGCTGGAAAATTTTGCACTGAACGTAGTTGCTGGCCAGCATGTGTAGTGGGTATAACATTGTGTTTGAGAGCCTCTGCTGCAGAAAAGTTAGATGACATTGGAGTGGGCAGTGTGGCTTCCAAGTTTCTGTGCATGCTTCAAATTTGTTCAGCCCTGCATTTCTGCTGATGGGGGAATTTTCCTTATCAGAAACCTGATCAGGAAGCGATAGTTTATTGCAATATTTTCCTGCCACTACTGACCCTGTGAAGAGTGTATTTTTTGCCATAGGGAACTCCCTGTTATAACAGGGGTGTGGTGAGGAATCAGGCTTTTCCCCGTAGTGTTTATTTTTAATTAGTTTTTTTCAGTTTGTTTAATGTTTTGAGTACAGAGAAAAGGCAACTGTAGTTAATCTGAGCAGTGATAAGAAGAGCAAGTGCTGAGCTCATTGTCACCTTCCATGTTGCAAAAGGAATGCAGCTTGACTGTTTTAACCAGGTCTGGGCACAGAAACCCAGGAATCTATTTTTGATGTATGACAAATTTTGGAAGTGAAAGAAGAGTTAGCCATAGGAAGTGAGAAAAGTCAAAATCCAGTCTGAATGGATTGTAGCTGCATTTCCTTTCAGCACACTGCTTGTTGAGTCCATCTCTCCTGAGGTGGTTTTATCTGGAAATCGGACAATTAGCAAAGGGAACACACCAAATTACAGAATGATTGCAGTTAGAGATGGAAACAGCCTGGTAGGTCACTATGGCCACCCTCAGTGAGGACAAGTTATTGGGCCAACAGTAAACAGTGGGAGCTGATTGCCAATAAAAAAGCACAATCTGTCTCTGCCCATGTTTATCTAAAAGCAAACACACTACTTCCTAATGGTTAATGGAAAATGTAATGTTGGTTAGATTTGTGTATTTACTTTGGAAAAGACCCTATCTGCTCATAACCTTATTCAGAGTGTTTTTGGCCTGTTTCTATGCAGGAAGGTTAGGGGTATCAGCGGAGATGCAAAGGCAGGAGCAGAACATGCAGAAAACTCTGCTGTGGTTAGAACAGAGTTGACTGAATTCAGAAGTTGGTGGCTGGACAGACCAGTGTATTTCTGAGTGATCATCATCTCTTGATGCCTCTTAACTACAGTGTGATAGGGCGTTAACATAGGGACTCGCACAGACATACCAGACATGTCGCTTTAGCCAACGTTCCTTTGCTCACTCTTTACATTTTCATTTGTGCTCATTAAAGTCAAAGTGATTGGTCTGCGAGATTTCTGCCTGCTAGATCCTTGCCCTGAGTTTATTTGGGTCACCAGCAACAAAAATGAGGGATGCCATAGTTCTTCAGTAGCCTGTCAAGACAACATCTAGTGGGAACAGTGTTGCTGACATAAATATAGATAGATCTTTTAGAAATCATTTTCCCCTGAAATCTTGACACAGGATTTGGATTCCCAGCTTCCAGAGGCCTTTGGTCTGAGGCCTACTTCTAGGGTAGAGGGGCTGCTCTGACTTCTGAGGTTAACTCTGAGCTAGCAATATGCGTACTGTGTACTCTGTATGCTAGCTAGTCCAGGTGCTGCAGCCAGCATAAAAGAGTCTACTTCTGGTCGCATGAGAGATCCCTGGTATGGGCCCGACCCCTTCTTACATTCCAGTGTTTTTCAGTGGCCCCCACTGATGTGCGACCAAGGAGGACTTTCTCCTATGTCAGGAGGAACACAGATACATAGGATTGAAATAGACTCCCTGAATCATCAAGTTCAGTCCCTGCTATCATAGGCAGACGCATAAAATCCTGTTAATAAATTTATCAAGCTCCATCTTAAAACTAACTAGTTCTCCCACCCCCTTATGATTCGGAGGCTGTTCTAGAACTTTGCTCCTCTGCTGCTTAAAAGTCTTCCAGCCTAAATTTATTAATGGCCAGTTTATACTAGGGTGACCCAGATATGGACTGTGGGCCTCCCCATGGGTCTAGCTATTTGGTGGCAGAGGAGTGATGACAGTGTTAATTGTCCTGGCTTCCAGAACTGTGGCAATTAAGGCTGCTGCTGTTCATCGTGCTACTAAATTTCTGGACTCATGTGGAGCCTTGTAGGCCAGATGATGTGGGCCCTGCATGCTGGATTGCACCTGTGGATTGGCCCCATGCCAGTCATCTGGCCCATGGGGCCAGATGTGTTAATCACCACTGGTGTAGACTGATTTGTTCTTTTGCCAACATTGTCCTGTAGCCTAAATA